GAGAGAGAGAGAGAGAGAGAGAGAGAGAGAGAGAGAGAGAGAGAGAGGGGCAGGGGGTGCTGTAGAGATATCTCAGTGAGTAAAGTACTTGTCTTGTAAGCACAAGAACCTAAGTTTGATCCCTGTAGCCTGTATTTTAAAATGCTTAGCTGGCCTTGTGGTACATGCCTTTAATCCTAGCACTGAAGAGTCAGAGGCAGGTAGATCTCTAAGTTTGAGTCTAGCCTTGTCTACATAGTGAGCTCCAGGACAGCCAGGGCTACACAGAGAAACTCTGTCCCAAAAAACTAACTGCACTTGAAGAGGAGCCAAATTCAATTGCCAATATCCATGTAAGCTGGCCCACAACCACCTGTAACTCCAGCTCCTGGGGATCTGACACTCTTTTTTGCCTCAGTGGGCACCAGCACTCCTGCATATAACCACTCTACAGACACACATATACATACAATTTAAAAATAAAATAAGGGGCTGGAGAAATGGCTTAGTGGTTAAGAGTGGTTGCTGCTCTTGCACAAGATCCAGGTTCAGTTCCCAGCACCCACATCAGGCATCTCACAGCTTCCTAAAACTCTAATTCTGTGGGTTCTTCTTTTGGCCTCTGCAGGCAATTCCATGAACATGATGGACATATAGCTAAGTAGGCACACATACACATAATTCTTAATTTAAAAAACAATAATAAACCTTTAAAAAGAATAAGGTATGATAGCATACATATAGACCCAGCACTAGGTAGGCATGTGCACGCGTGTGAGCTCACACACACACACACACACACACACTCTCACACACACATACACGCACACACACACACACACAGAGTGTTATAAGCCAGCCAGCCTAGCCTACTTGGCTAGTTCAAGGCCAGCAAAGGAAACTGTCTCAATAAGAAAAGAGAGGAGATGCTGATGGCGCATAAGGAAATTTACCCAAGGTTGTCTTCTAGCCTCAACATACACCCACACATACATGTGCATTAACACACATGGACAGTTAGGAACTAAATATGGAGGATTGGCAGCCAAAGGACATTGACCCAAGCTGAAGAGCATAGGGCTGTGGGCAGCAAAGACTACATGGTCACTTGACTTTTCAGACTTCAGCTATCAAAAATAGGCATATTTTTCTTGATCATACTGGTGGCCCACATCTATTTTCTCATGTAAGCTGTAACATGATGCTGTCCTTGATTGCTTTCTATTTCCATAAATATTTTGGCCAAAAGCAGCTTGAGGAAAAAGAGTTTATTTCATCTTATATCATGAAGTGAGTCCAGGAGGAACTCAAGGCTGGGACCTGGAGGCAGCAACCGTGGAGAAGTGCTCATTCTCTGGGTTCACATTCAGCTGCCTTTCTTTTACTTTCATTTATAGATTTATAGATTTATAGAGATTTTTATTTTATATGTACAAGTATGTGCCTGCATGTATGTAGGTACACCTTATATGTGCCTGGTGCCTATAGAGAACAGAAAAGGCAGTCAGTCCCCTGAAACTGGAACTACAGACGGTTCTGAGCCACCACATAGGCTCTGAGAACAGAAACCAAGTCTTCTGCAAGAGCAACAAGTGCTGTTAATCACTGAGCCATGTCTCCAGTCCTTCGATACACCTCTTATACCTCCTAGGATCACCTGGCCTGTGGTGGCACTGCTTGTGAGCTGGGCCCTCCTAATTCAATCATTATTCAAAAAATTGCCCCACAGACTTTCCTGCAGGCCACTCTAATGGGGACCTTTTCTTAACTGAGGGTCCCTCTTCCGGATGACGCTCGGTGTGTTAAACTGACAGAAACACTTAGCAGCAATGATCCTTGCTCATCTGTCCTCCGTTCACTGGTGCTACTGGTAAAGCGTTTCTTTTTAACAAGGCTGTTGACTTACAGTGTACTGAAGTTCCTGACCTAGGCTCTAGTCTGAGAGAGTGAGATCTCTGAGGAGAACAAACCATCTGATAACTCTATTATTTATTTCATGAGTTGGGGGGAAGGTGTATGTGAACCATGGCATACATGTCAAGGTCAAAGGACGACTTGCAAGAATTGGTTCACTCCTCCCACGGTGTGGGTTCCAAAGATCAAGCTCTGTTGTCACCTTTACCCACTGAACTATCTCCCCCTCCCTCATTTGATGCTTCTTGAAATACAAGAGCCAAATTCACTTTTCCCAGCTCCTCACTGAAACCAAAAATCTGCTTGTAGAGCTTCACGTTAGCGTAGAACTGTCCCTCTTGCTCTCCTTCCTCCCTTCCTCTCTTTTTAAAGTCTTGTGTTTCCTATCCAACACCAGTTTATAAGGGAAGTATTATGCAAGTGGCGCTAGTTTTTCCCTGTTGCTTACATCTATGGCAGAAGAGCCTCTTGCAGCTCCATGGTGAGCTGTATGACATAATAGTTACGGCTATTGCAGTGCAAGCTTGTCTTTTATAGCTTTTTCATTTAGAATAGGTCAAGAGGAAGTTTTAAAACTCATCCTGGCTTTGTATTAGGCACTTTAATAAAACAAACAAACGGACAAACTCAGGAGCTAATTTACTTGATCTGTTTCCGGGAAGAAGTCTGAGTCTCCCTGGGCATAAAGGCTCCATGATAGGAGGCTGGTGCTGGCTGGTGTGTTGTGTTCTTGCTGGAGTGTGGGCCTCAGTCCTAAGAAGTCATCTTCCTCTTTAGTGTCAGCTGCAAAGCTGATGTTGATGGGACATGTTTTTCTGAAAGAGGGCAGACCTGCAGAGTTGTTACTTCTCCGTGAAACTTAAATATAGGAAAGTAAATGAAAGAATGGTTTGTGAAGAAAAAAAGAAAACCCATAGTTAGACAACCACAAAGACATAGAAGTGGCTTTAACAACATGCAGTTGGGGCTGGCGAGATGGCTTAGCTGTAAAGGTGGTTGCTGTCACACCCGATGATGTGAGTTTGATCCCTGGGACCTACATGATATGAGAGAACCAACTCCCCTAAGTTGTTTCCTGACTTTCACCCACATGCTTTGGATTGCTTATGCACACGTGAATACACATATGCATATATACATAAGTTCCTCAGGAGTTAAGAGCGATGACTCTTTCCAAGGACCTGGGTTTGATACCATTACCCACATGGCCAGTTACAACCATCTGAAACTCCAGTTCTAGAGAATCCAAAGTCCTCTAAAATTCTCTTCAGGCACTAGGCATGCATGTGGTGCACAGAGATACATGCGGGCAAAACATATACGCATAAGATTAAATTTTAAAAGTTGGAAAAACAATCTGAGAGCACATTTGGCATTGACCTCTGACCTCCATATGAGTGCATACGTGCACGTGCACTTGCACACAAACACACACACACAGAGAAACATACATGCATACTTACACTCACACACACAAAAAAAGAGAATAAAAGAACATCACTTCTTCCCAAGGTAATAATTTATAAATTTAATATGACCCATTAAAACACAATTCTGTAGGTTTTATTGAAAACTTAGGAAAAACTATGTTAAAAAAGGAAAAGAAAAACAAAGCTGGATTAAGGGTGTGCAGTGCCACGCAGGGCAGAAGACAGAAAATGAGAAAGCAGCAGGAGAGAAGCACGCTTTCATTTGCAAAGCAACTTGAAAGTTTTTTTACATTTCTCTGTTGCGGGATAAGACTCAGTGATGAGCATGTAGAAGGCAAAGGGCAGCGTGTGGGAATCTGCTCTCTCCTTCCACCATGTGGGTCCTGGGCCCAAACTCAGGTCATCAACCTTGGCAGCTGGCTGCTTAGCCTTCAGAGCTATTGTCTACTTTTTTAAAAGTATATTTGGTATTATAGAATCAAACGTGTGTGTGTGTATATGACATGAGTGCAGAAGGGGGTCTGTCTGTTGGAAAGTAGGGGACTGAGGGAAAGGGACAGGACAGAGCAATGAGGGTGGCAGATAAATATGAACAAATTATAATAATACATATGTATGAAAATGCCATCATTAAGCCCATTATCTTATAAACAAACAAATTAATAATTGTATGTTTGGAAAGATCATAAAGTTTTAAAAAATGACAAAAATTTGGGTCAAGGTCTCCAGGGTATGTTTCTTCTCAGCCAGAGGAAGGGTAAAGTGACCTTGGTTAGGTTGAGGGCCTGGATGATTTGTCGTGGGCCTTTTATTCACATGCCTCTCCCTCCACCAACACAGCCCTCTTTGACTCTATGCACAACCACCAGGCCTCAGATAGCCCGTTCTCCCCGCCCCGCACTCTTCATTCGCCACCCCTGCAACTTCGGCATCGCTCTGAAAAGCCACCTTGGTGTAAGTAAACTCTTTTAGTTTCCTAATCAGAAACAGAGAGGGATGGAGGGATTGGTGGATAAGAGAGCTGTCCTGTGAGAGTTAAGAAAGCGAGGGTTAAAGACTGGGACCAGGGCTGAGGAGGTGGCTCAGCAGTTAAGAGCATGTAATGCTCCTCCAGAGGACCTCCATTTGATCCCCAGCACCCACATCCTGTGGCTCACAACTGCCTGTAACTTCAACTCCAGGGGAATCTCTCTCTCTCTCTCTCTCTCTCTCTCTCTCTCTCTCTCTCTCTCTTATACACACACACACACACACACACAATGAAAAAATAATAATAAAAGCCAGGCAGTGGCCATGTATGCCTTTAATCCTAGCACTCCAGATACAGAGGCAGGTGCATCTCTGAATCAGCCTGGTCTACAGAGCGAGTTCCAGGATAGCCTGGGCTCCATAGAGTTTGTTTTGAGAAAACAAACAAACAAGCAAAACTCTACCATGAGTAGCTGGGTAGCATGGTTCACTGAGGAGGCAGAGGTGGATTTTGAGTCGTAGGCAGCTCACCCTGGGCTACTTAAAAAGAGAAAGATAGGAATGGTCACTCTGAGAAGCAGTCTCCTGTGCTATTTCCAAGCTAAGGCAAAAAGTTTCTTTACCTTTGTCCTCCAGCTCCACTGAAGAGTCTCCTTCAAGACAGTAATCCCCAGGACCTTTTATATAAAAAGGGGTGAAACTCTTTACCTGTCTTCACTGGACTTGCCTATTGGCCTCTCTACATCGATCCTTGCTGACAATGACTAGAAGATAGCCTAGACACATACAAATTATATAGAAAAGCTAAGAGCAAGAAAAGTCTCCATCAGGCCTGCATATGCTGTGACTCCAGCACATGGAGGCAGAGGCTGAAGGTCACTGAAGGTTTGAGGCCAGCAAAGGGCTGTATGGAGCAAGACTGTCTCAAAGCACAAATAAAAGAACAAGAAGAAGAAAGAGCAGAGCCTGCTGCTTCGTGACCTTCCTCCGGTCTCCGCTCTCACACAGTTGCTACCAGAGGAGCTGCTCCTTCAACTTGTCTGTTATCCTTAGCCTCTCATAGGTTCTTCTTGGTGTCAGTATGAACAGTCACTGCAAGTTCTTGGGGTTGGGACACCAGTGGTAGGCAAGCACCTGTGAGGAACAAATCCTCTCCTTAGCATCCTGCCTACAGGCATGATTGAGATCACACAAACCCTTCATGGAGACCGTGAAGGGAAGTTTTGCACTTCAGCCCTGGGCTGCTACAGAATTGTGCTATTTTCTAGCACCCTGTGTGGGGAAACATGTGCTTTTTTTTTTCTTTGAGTTCTGTTTGTCTCTACCACCTGAGTGTTGGATCAAAGGTGTGTGCCGCCACCCCTGGCTGACCTAGATCAATGGATGGTTTCTGTGAATTCCCTGAATCATATGTAAAGTTCAATGTGAATGGTTGAATATGTACCTTTTCCCTGGAATATAATCTATTATTTCTACAAGAACCTTACTGATGTCTGTGACACCCCCCCAACCACTCCCCCACACCCCAACAAACCCTGCAGCATTGTCATTTGGGAACTCTATCGTAGTCTTCCATCTTTAGGTAAGAGGCTAAGGGTAACAGATAAGTGGGGTGGAGCAGCTCCTCTGGTAGCAACCGTGTAAGAGCGGAGACCTGAGGAAGGTCTCAAAGCAGCAGGCTCTGCTCTCTTTCTTCTCCTTGTGGCTCTTTCCTGGTGTCTTCATTTACAGGTTTACTTTTTCATTTTCTGCCTTTACCAGAGCTTGACCAGGCTGACCTTGAACTCTTGGTGCTCTGTGGTGCTACAGTTGAAGGTGTGAGCTGCCATGTCTCACTCCTGATTTATAAAGGTTTTCTACAATCTTTTGCTTAATTCTTGGGATATCTCTTGCTCCAGAAATACACTAATTTCTTCAAATAATGATCCTTTACTTGATCTTAGCCAAAAGGTCAAGAAGTGTTAAAGAAAGGATTCTTAACAAAAGGTGGATATCACATTTAATTAAGAGCCTTTCTCCCTTTTTTGTTTTGTTTGTTATGATAGACATCTCATATAGCCTAGGCTTCCCTTTGACTTACTGTGAATAGCTGAGGATGATCTTGAACTTCTGCTCCTTCCATGTTCCAGGTGCTGAGGTCATAGGTACACATCACCATTTCTGGTGTTTGTGTAGTACTGAGTCCTGAGTTTTCCCACATGGTAGGCTGGCACTCTACCCTTGAGCCACATCCATAGTTCCCTCAACTGGGAATATTCCAACAGAATAATATTGTCCTCCTCTTCTTCCCTTCTTCCTATCCATATCTTTACACTATCCTTATTGAACTAGAAACCATGGAGATGGAACCTAATAATCAGTATTTAAGTATTTCCCATAGTTTTGATGTATAAGAGTAAATGTGAACCTTTGGGACAAAATGTTTATATGCACCCAAAGTAAGAAGGAGGAGCCATGGGAATTTGGAGTTAGGATCAGAGAGTATTTGTAAAAACTAGATGAAGTAGGCCTCATTCTCCTGAATCTCAGGTGAGCCTTAGCATTATTAGGCAAGTGTGAGAATTTCTAAGCTGAGCAAGTACATATATCTGCAACATTTGAAAGAATCCAGACCCTTTTCTCCAAAACATGAGCAGCAAAGCTAATTTATTCTAGCGTTTAATGAACGCACATGGGTAGAGCCTCCTCTTGCAGCTCATTTAACTTGACCTCCTAACTTTGCTTTACAGACAGCAGCGGGCCTTCCAGCACCGTGTCCAGTGCTGGCCCTTCCTCTCCTACTGCAGTGGAAGGAAACTCACATTTTGGCTTCAGTGATCAGTCCTCTGTAAATACACATATGACTGAAGAAAAGCAAGGCCTTGGATTGCTCCAGGGGACTCCTGGAGATGGAACACCAGCGTTCCACATAGAAAGACAGCAAGAACTTGCTGAGACAACTCAATCCCCTCAAGAGCTCCCTGTGGAAATCTGCCCTCCAGGAAGTCAGGATGTTACCAAGGTCAGCCAGACATGCCAGGAGGTCCCAGACATCATCCAGCCATGCCATGACATCCTTGAGATTGGCCAGCCTAACCAGGAGGTCCCTGACATGAGCCAGCTGTTGCTGAAGAACCATGACACTACTACCAACACATGCCAGCCATGCCAGGCCAGCCAGCTGTCTCAGAAAGTTTATGAGGAAATTTGCCAACTTTGTCAAGACAACCCTGAGGAGAGTAACCAACTATGCCAGGAAGTCTCAGTAGAGCTGGGCAGAATGGTCCATGGATTCCCTGTAAATGTTGGTAGCACGGCCCAGGAAACACTTACGGAAATTGGCAGGCCAACCCAAGAGATCCCTGCAGACCCATGCCAGGAGTTCTCTGTGAAGGTTGGCATGCTGGCTCAGAAGGCCCCTGCCATCAGCGAGTTATCTCAAGACATCCCTGAGGCTGACAAACCATCCCAAGAGCTCTCTGAGAAGACTGATCTGGAGGCTCAGGAGGTCTCTGAGGAGACTGATCGGGAGTCTGAGGTGGTTGATGAGCTGCCTAATGAGGATATCTCCTAAGTTCAATATCTGTCTAGTGATGTAAACATTGAAAGCCAGTCTCTGGCCCATGACCAGCATTCACCCCTTCCTCCCACCAGCAACATGTGACTAGTTATCTTGTCATTGGTGTCCCACTTTACCAGCTGTTTGAGCCAGCAGCCTTTCTGTTGGCTAACACACAGAAAGAGCCCCAAGCAAGGTGTGGGCTCACACCAGCAGTGTCTGAGGAAGTAGGCTTTGTGGCACAAAGCATACTTCTGCCAGAGCTTAAGCCTAAGGAGGAGCCATTTATGTTCAGAGAAGTTATTGGCTCTTTACTTAGTCATGGAGTGGGAAATCAGATTGTTGAAGGAAATGCCATTTAACTACTGAAGATACCTTGTTGAAGGGACAGCAAATATAGCATGGAAGGTGACAGGGTCTCTACTTGTTGACTGAAATATTCACAACTTTTTAAGTTACCCTCAGTCCATATGTGCATTCAAGGAAACTCTTACCTTCACTATTACAGGCTAGCTCAGGGGAACCACCTGAAATGTCTGGAAAATAGAGTCCCATTCTCAAAAACATTTGTCATGGCCACTCATGGTTTAGACTGAGCTTATGGGTATTTCCATGTAATTGCCAAGTGCTCCCCCTGCCTAGTCCTGCTCCTGTGGACATCAGCTCTAGAGAAAAATAGATAGTAGATTGCCATGCAACTTCAGAGTGACTACTTAGAATGCTCTGGAAGAGTTGCATCAATCTGTGAAGCCAGGCCTCCTTTTGTTGTGGGGCTGTTGGGCTTAGAAGATGCTGAAATGAGAGAATCAAGTTCTATTTTAAACAATTAGCAGAGATCAATGTTGTACAGACATGAGCAAAGATTTAATATATATCTATCTATATATAAACATATATATTTCTGTAGTTTGCCAGGGACAGACTGGCCAAAGATCAAACACTCCAGGATCCCCAAGAGGTTTGTCCTTATATATCATGTGTCTTTATGACCATATGAAGCTTTTCCCAAAGATCTAGGGATGGGAGTGGGTGTAGGTAATACAGTCATTGGAGTCGGGGGCCGGAACATGACGAGTGCTCAATAAATATAAAACAATGAGAACGAGGGGGTGTGGCGCCTTTGTGAACTCAATAATGAATGTGTAAGCCAATTGTGTCCATGACTGAGCCAGTTAAAGACTGCTGCAGATGAGCAGGGATTGGCTTAGAAAGAGTCCCTGGAGTGGTCGGTCAGTCTACCATCCCAAGTGTTTTTAATGAGCAAAGTGTTGGGCAGCTCCTGAGAAGCAGCCTCTGATGCCTCACTCTAGTGCCTTGGCGTGTGAGTCAGGGGAGCTGACATGAAGAGGCAGTGCCTGGTCTCTGCTTCATTGACATCTTTACATGAGGAAAACTCTGGACACGGATGACTAGAAGGTCCCTTTTCCATATACACATTTATAACCTGACCACTCATGACATACCTAGGACTATAAAGGGTTTTACTGAGGGGGTTAAATGTAGCTTTCATCCAATGGGCAGTAAGTGAAGGTTCAATTTTCTGAGGAAATACAGGGACTGCTTTTGACCCCATAGAATGCAGATCGCACTCCCTAAACCAAATGTTTATGTTCCTGCTACAGACTCCCACATTTCAGACTATTTTCATTTTTTTTCTTGTTTCTTGCTTAAATTTTTATTTTTATTTTATGTGTATGGATATTTTGCCTGCATATAAGTCTGCACACTGCATGCATACCTGGTGCCCACAGGGCCCAGAAAAGGGTGTTTGAATCACTAGAACTGGAGATGTAGAGAGGTGCAAGCTGCCGTGTGAGTCCTCTAGAAGAGCAGCCAGTGTTAACCACTGAGCTATCTCTCCAGTCCCTTGTTTTTTTGTTTGTTTTTGTTTTGTTTGTTTGTTTTCGAGACAAGGACTCACTATGTAGCTCAGGCAGGCCCAAAACTTGCTATATAGTTCAGGCTGACCTCAAACTCTTGATTCTCATACCTCTACCCTGAGTGTTAAGATCACAGGCATGCACCATCACACCCTACTGCTCCTCAGAGACGGTGTTTCTCACATCTCTTCCTCCTTTCACACATGCTGGCTCTCCTGGGTCCTGGAATGGGTTTGAATAATCAAGAGTCTTCCAAGATACATGCTAACTGAAACAGAGGGATGGAAACCAGGACAGCTTACTGTATGGAGGAGTCTGGGAAAACCTAAGCAGCACTACAACATCTGCAATGAACTCGGTTTATTGTTAGAGGTGGAGGTGGCTCTGTTACAGCAGCTGGGAACTGTAGCAGGGAATGTGGGGAGGAGCAGGGCACAGCGGCAGGTAGGGGAGCTAGGAAAAACAGGAGGTGAGCTCCTTTTGGTTTTCCATTGACTTGGCAAAGAAGGCAAGCCCCGGGGACTGTCAGAGGCTGAGTTTCTCAGTCCAGCAGGGTCTGGCCGGGTTGCTCACTGGCTTGCTTGGGGCGAGGTCCTGTCCTGTAGTAGAATTCTCAGCCTGTCTTCACTCTGGAGGAGATAAGCTATACAGCTCTGCTTCCTCTCTTCTTTCCCTGTCTCCCTCCCAACCCCCTCCCTCAGTTCTCTAGTCCAGCCTCCACCTCCCAGAAACTCTATCCAAGAGCTTAGGTTTAGAGAGGCAGCCAGCGGTCCCATTTCAGCTGCAGGGTGATAGAGGATTGGAATGTTGGGGGAGTCACACATGGCTAAAGTGGATGTCAGGCAGTGGCTTTTTTTTTTTTTAACCTGTTACACACCAGGCCATAGCAGATGACCACATGCAGAGAAGCCAAGCAGGGGATGAGAAGGAATGAGGCTTATTGGAATGGGGTAGGTGAAGACTAAGTGATTGGGGCGCTTGGAACAACTGGGGTTGGGGCTCTCCTTGCCCTTTGTGCTGCCCATGTAGCCTGGTCTGGGTACAGCCTGAGGCGATAAATGGTCTGAAGCGGGGGCTGAGAGATGAGCTCCTTTTTTCCTCTCCCTGGTTCTTGGTCTAGAGAGCTTCAAGTTTTGAATTGAGACATTCAGACATTTAGGGAAGCAGTAAGACAGTATAGCTGCCACAGGCCCCCAGGTCCCTACTGGAACCCAGACCCTGGTGGCTAGGGCATGGGAGAAAGGACACAGCTCTGGCTCCTTACTAAAAGTGGCCTTCCCTGCATCATATAAATTATCGGCAATCCTTTCTGGAATGCCAAATAAATAACGAGGTTCTGGGGGAGAGGGTGTTACTCTTCCTCCATGGGGAGGAGTGTGCTGTCTGAAACCCATCCTCACCCAAGACCAGCATTTGGCAGTGCTAGGAGAGGGACTTACTCTAGGGGTTTCAGGCATCAGATGACCTTTCATAATTTTGTATCCCCCTCTCATTGCCTTTGGTTTTGAAACCCCCAGGAAGAGATGAGGGGAAGGACAGGACCTCCCACTTAGCCCAAATCCTCATGACATGACATGGTCCCTGCACAGCTCTACTTCCCTCAACCCCAGAGGACTCAGCAGTAGCCATTCTCTAAATGAACTGTAGGAGTGGATCCGTGGGGAAGGGAGCGTGGGTCATTCAGAACTCAATCTTGCAGGCTGGAAAGGACTCGTCCTGCATCACCACCGTGCTGCTGCTAGCCAGGACCAGGACGTTCAGTTGCTGCTGCTGCTCATGTGTCTGCTGATACCACTCACGAGTCACCTCCGTGTCATGAGTGGGAATCAGAGTCACCTAAGAGGAAGAAAATATGTGTGAGGTGAGAATCTGGAGGAAAGACAGATGAGGGAGAAGGGAAACTGAGGGTCTCAAACAATCCTGCTCCCCATACAAAGGACCCTGTCTTTTTGTGACTAGGGGCTGTGTCCTACTGTTGGCCTCTGACAGAGCTTTGACCAGATTCTAACTTTGTGTCTCTTGCTACTCACCTGAAGGTTCTCCCCCCACTGGGCCTTGCCTTCCAGCAGGGCATCCAGAACAGCCCGGCTTGGCTCGCCATTGGCTGGGTCATTTCCACTGACCACATAGTAGGATGCACGCACTCGGCGGAAGAAGTCCTGATCGGCAGTCTTGCCGCTGCAGTGATTTGGGATATAGGCAAGATCCACATACACAGGAGGGCCAGAACCACCCTTGGAGCCCAGGGCTGCTGTAGAGACAAGCAGAATGTATTGTAAAAATAACAACAAAACAAAACAAACAAAAAACAAAACTTGGTCACCTCCCCTCTTGCTTGAACAGCTGGAGCCCTTAGCTAGCCCACACCTACTCCAATCCACAGTGTCTCCCACTTTCCTGGTATACTCACTGGATCCTGCCTTGAGGCCATTGACTAAGCCTTTGGACATGGGGCTGTGACCATCCTTTTCTTCTGCTGAGGTGACCTGGCTTGGAGTGCTCCGTGGTCGGGGTAGGGCCCGGGATGTTCGATCTACAGGCCCTTTGCCAGGAGTAGGTGACCTTTTTCCCCGAATATCCAGACGCCGAGCAGGAGATGCAGGCTTGGCCCGGCCAGGAGCCCTACGCCCAGGTCGCCCCTGCACCTTTTCTCGTAGTCTCTCAACCCTCCCAGACTCTGAGCTGAGGCCCTCAGGGTCAGCCATGCAAACATCCGGTCGGGGAGGGGATGGGCGGGGGTCTGGTAGGGGGACTGGGGGTGGGTCATGGCCAGGTCTGGGGTGGTGAGTTCCACTAACTCCCCCGGCTTTGTCCACAGGCAAGAAGTCCCCATCTTCATCCGAGTCAAGGGCTGCCTCAGCTGTGATGGATGGACACTCCTCAGTTTCTGGTGGGACATCAGAATCTGACTGTGAGGAGCCTGAGTCGCTGACTGATGTGGGGGGTGTCTCATCAGCCATAGGGCATGGACCTCCCATGACCCCTGGCCTCCCTGCCCGGCGCCGCCCTCCTTTTCCTGCCAGCCGAGCTTCCTCAGTTGAAAGGTCACTGTCATCTGTGGATGGGGGCAGAGGAGGGTTCAGGAATGAGGGGGAAAGCTCCCCGCAGTGGGGACGGGGGTCTGTAGCACATCCCTGAGGTCCAGCCTCGACTTCAGAAGAAAGACTGCAGGGTGGGCCCCCGGAGCTCTTCCCAGGACCCAGAGGCTGCTCAGATGAAAGAAGTGTATCTGGCCTAGAGCTCCTCTCAGCTCCCTCAGGCCAGGACCCTCGTTCCCAAGCGTGATGAGCTTCAGCCTCTTCTTTTTCTACAGTGGCTGTGGCAAACCCTGGGGGATTAAGGCTGGTTTCTCCTGGGCCATTGGCCTCATGATCTCCAGAGTGGCTCAGGAAGGGGCTTGGCTTCTTGGTGAGTTCTCCCGAGCACTCCAGGTGGCAGGGCAGGGTAACATCACCCAAGTCTCCAGACAGGCTTGGAGCTGGAGCTGGAGCTGGAGCTGGAGCTGGAGCTGGAGCTGGAG